ATTATGATTGACATTTTGTTTTTGTAAACTCGAAAGGCTAGTGAGAACGATGCAACTTTTCCAGAATTTGGTCACATTAACCCAGGAACCACAGAGAATCACCAAACATCAGGAATTCTGAATATTTTCTCATTTCATGGGGAATTTCCTCCTGTTAATTCAGCTGATTCATTTTGTAAACCTCTCATTAAAAGTACACTAAACCATCTGGGGTAGCATCTACTTAATTTTAACATGCATGACTTTTTCTTTCCTTCAAATTATCAGAGAGACTGTATAAACATTTTCTTCCAGTTCTTTTTTGGAATGTTTCCTTCTTTGAGAATAAAGTTTTTAATTTAAAATTTCTTTTTCAAATTAAAATGAAAATGTTTATTTTTATTAATTAAGTTATATCTCTAGCAATTTCACACACACATATAATGCATTCTGATTCCTCTCTTCTCTTTCCTTATTTCTCTCCCATGCCACCCACCCCCACAGCTTTTCTCCCCGCTACTCGCTCTCCTAGGCTCATGACTTTCGGTGTTACCTTTGTGACCCACTTTGTTTATTCAGGGCCATCAGTGGCCATATCCTCTGGAGACTAAGGGCTCACCAGTGAATGGATACACAACTGAAGGCAAGGTTTTCCCTTTCTTCTGAATACATCAGTAGGAAAGAGTTCAAGATAGCAGAGTGGGGAAGGCTGAGCCCCTCCTCCAGCCAGGCTTGGCAGTTGATGGGCTAAAAGTGTTTTTCTTTTCAAAGACTATTCTTCATTCCTTATTTAAAGGAAGTTATATATTCTCAAGAGTATCTGGAAATAATATCTTGAAAGTCTTTCTTCATCCTCTGTTTCACTCACTGTCTTCATCCTTCACCTTCTGTTCACATTATGTGTTTTCTAAGTTTATTTCCTCACAATTTCTTGTCACCAGAAGTCATGTCAATATTCTTGCTCTTTTCATTTAATGCTTTTTAATTTAATGCTGTTTTAAAGGAGATATTAATAATATTCTCAAGAAATATGAGAGATAAATATTTGTACTATGCTTGTTTTCTGAAACATAAGTTGGCCACCTCCCTTACCTGATCAATTTTCCCTGGTAATGAAGCTGGATTATGTAAAATAAATACCATAAGCAGTTTCCATAAATCTATTGGCTGTGTTCATATGGTTAATTTAAAATTTTTATTAAAATGCAAGTGTCAATAAGAAGTAATTTATCAATTCAAAAGAAGGTTCTGCCTTGCTTAGTGTTATGTTAAATATTGGGGTTGTGAATTCCTGATTCTAGTGAAATTCCATGTGTAATTTTCCTGCTTTGTTGGAATTGCCTTTAGAGAAGATTTCAGTGCCAAGTTCTTCATGTTCGATCTCCTTTACCTAAAATGGATATGTAGTATCTCATTGAAAAAGAATAGTAAAAAATTGACAAAACCTCATCTGTACAGTCAAAGGCAGAGCTGCAGTGCCTGGCTCTTTAAAGGCATACACATTCTTAATTATATTCAAGGGAAGAGGAAACTACTCTGTAGGATTTCACTCTTCTTTCCATGGTAATAAGAAAATATCTTACAGAGTAAATTTGAATGAATTAAGCAAATCAAAAAAAGCATTACAAAGTAAAGGCCCCAAGATCACATGTACAGTGTTACCAGAGAAGTGACATGATCTGGTTTGTGTTTTTCAGGTCCCGGGTGTCCTTTTTTAAATTGGATGATAACTGCAATTGTATTCGCCATTTTATTTTTCACTTCATGTGTCATCAATGCTGTTCTCTGTATCTATTTCCGAAAGAAAAGGTAAGCTATAGGATAACCTGTGGTGACAGAGATGCTGGGTACAGTTGTGCTAGTTGGAAATACTATGTTTGAAAATTCCAGGGGTTCTGGAAAAACCCGTTTCCATATGCTTGACAGTTTCTGACATCAGATACTATAAACGTAGTCTGTAGGTAACATTTATGTTTATGGTGAATTGAGTGTAATATTCTTTTTTATTTTTTTAGAAGGAAAAAATTGTTCATTTTTGTTTCACGTGTATTTGAGTTTTGCCTGTGTGTGACTGTATGCTACGTGTGTGTCTGGTGCCTGTGGAGGCCAGAAGAGGGTGCTGAAACTTGAGTTAGAGGCAATTATGAAATGTCCATAGGGATGCTGGGTACTGAACCAGGGTCCTCTGAACAAGCAACACATGCTCATAATTGCTGAGCCATATCTTCAGCACCACATTTAAGACTCTATTGAGAACAGGTTTCACATGAGACAGGAGAAGACCCAGGACAATAGGTAGGAGAGAGTCTGCTGAGTGGAAAAAAAAAAAGACTGAAATTGGAAACCTGAGGGAGGTCCAACTGAGGCATAAGGTGAAGCTGGGATCCTATTTTATAGATTAAATATAATAAAATACTCACCCATATACAACTCCTCTGGTGGACAGAAGTGTATGATGGGGAGGTAAATGGAAATAGGAAAATATTAGGCATGACAGTAGAAACTGTAGACATAACTGATAGTGTGTGATTTGTTTTGATGTCATTATACATTCTTTAAATTTAAAAATATGGTGGGGTTTTTATTTTGCTCCATCTCAATCCAGGGAAATGTATAAACCTAAGAAGGGTGAGAATCTGATCTATAATCTAGAAGGCTCTCCCACTTGGATGTGGAAGAGAAGTCTTAGAAGACATGAATGAAGTGACAGTTTGAAGAGACGGCTACAGCAGTCAGGAGACAGATGGGAAATGTCCAGACTGAAGAGGTAGAAAGAGGAGGAGGGGTTAAGGTTATATTTGGGATGGGAAGGTTTTCTGAGTGACAGGTATGGAGAACGAGTAAGAGGAAAGAATTATCTTACTCAAGGTAAGTGTTTTAAGCATTAAAGAAAACTTTTACAAATATGTACAGGCATAGAGCAAGAGCAAGCTTTGGGGAGAGGATTAAGAATTCCATTTTAAACATTGTTATTTTTAAATGCCTATTTATACTCGAGGGATAATATTAATTAAGTATCTACAGGATGAATCTGGGATTTGTGGAGCAGATGATAAGTTTGGAATATAGATGATATGGTCTCCATGGAAAGAGAAACTATTGCTCTCTCTCACTACTTTAACGTAGAAACAATAGGCTAGTTCTAGTATTTTGGTCAACTTCTCAAGAAAATCTGTGCGTGAATCTATCAAATTTTAATTAATAATCTGTTCCTACAGAGTGCTGCCATGAGAAGGAGTGTTTGTCAGTGTCTAATTTATTTCTGTACCACTGTCATGGTACCTCTAGGTCAGAGAACATGCCTGTCCAATCATCAATACCAACGTGCACACCATCAGCAAGAGAGACTGAGGACTTAATGAGCCACCACCATCAGACAGACATAAATGAAAGTATGCAATCTTTTTTTTTAATCACTTGACAGTCTTTAAGTTTAAGATATAACATTCCAAATTAAATCATGCATTGGCTAGCAGCAACTACCATTTTAGAAATAAGTGGAGAAAAAATGTTTTTATAATGCCATTTCATGCAGTAGTAAATTCAAATGAGGTTTTATTAATATTAATGTCTTTAAGTTTTGAAATTAAAGTTATATTTATTTTAAATGATACATAAAAATTATGGATATTTATGGAGTACCATGTATATTTCGATAGCAAGTTAAACATATCTATTCACCCAGACATTTATCATTTCTTTGTACCTAAAACCTTTCAAATGTTTTCTGCTAGGTTTTAAAGTTATACAGCACATAGTCCTTATCTATAATTACCCTCTGGACAGTAACACAATGGAGTCTCACTGCTATCTAACTATAACTTAGTCCTGTTGATCAACCTCTTCTAATCCCTCCTACCCTTTACTAACCCAGCCTCTAGTAACTACGGTTTTTCTCTCTGAGTTTTTTAGATTTCTTGTCTAGATAAGATCAGGTAGTACTTCTCTTTATGTTTCTGGAATATTTTACTTGACATGGATGAACCCTGAGTTTCATCCATGTTGTTGCAAATGACAGAATTTCCTTTTTTTTGGCCAAATAATATTCACACAAATAATATTCACCTCATTCGTCAGTTCTAGGCAGATAGCTTCATTTCTCATCTGTTGTGAGTAGTGCTAAAGAGAACATGGACGTCCAGATATCTCCACAACATTTTCAACATAATGATTTCCTTTCCCTTTAGATATATATTCAGTAATGGGATAGCTTGATCATATAGCATTTCTATTTTTTAGCATCTTGAGAAGCCTTCCTAGCATATTGTATTTCACTTACGGCATGCATGCACTGGTTTCCTTCCCCACATCCATACATTACACATCACTTTTTTTGGTGTTTTTAGTAGTAATTATTCTTATGGGGTTAAGCTGCTGTCTTTTAATGGTTTCTACTTGCATTTCTCTGATGATTAGTGATGTTTAGCATTTCTTTCTCATATATCCATTAGCCATTTTGTATACTTTCCTTGAGAAATGTCTATTGAGGTTTATTACCCATAAAATTGAGTAGTTTATTTTTCTTGAGTTCTTAAGTTCCTTATATGTCTTGAAATGCCAAACCCCTGTCAGATGTGGAGTTGTAAATATTTTCTTCTTTTCTAATGATAGTCTCTTTAATGCAATTGATGACTATTTTCCTTGTGGGTTCCCCTACTTCCCTGACAGCATTTTCAAAAAGCATTGACCTTTCCCAGTATGTGTGTCCTTATCACCTTTACTGAAACTCAGTTCTCTGTAGATGTGTGGGTTCATCACAGCATCTTTATTCTTTTATGCTGCTGTATGAGTCTGTGTCTTGCAAATATCATGCTGTTTTGATTAAATACAGTTTCATTGTATATTTTGAAGTCAGGAGGTGCAGTGCCTTCTGAAAAGGGATGAGATTTTACTCCTCCAGACATATTTGCGTTCTTTAGTACTGTGTAGGAAAAAGGTACACAAACTCACTTCAGTAGTACACTTTCAGTAATAGTTATTTTAATGATTTGAATTCTCCAAATCTATGAATACAGGATATCTTTTCAATGTGTATATTTTTTGATTTCTTTATTGGATGATTGTGATTTTTCACTCTAGATAGTTTTAAGAATGCTGATACCATTTCAGTGTAACTCCTCCTTGATTTTCTTGTTACATATTTATTCAAGTCTTTCTTTTTTAGGAAAGCTCACATTTTTCTCTTATATATGATTTTTGGAATTTCCTTTTATTTGTTCAATGTCGTGAATTATACCTTTTTTTCTTTTCTTTTCTTTTGTTAACATAACATTAACTTTTTTTTCATTTATTTTACATACCGACCTCAGTTTCCATTCCCTCTTCTCCAGTCCTCCCCACCCCATCTTCATTCAGAAAGGGACAGGTCACCCATGGTCTTGAACAAAGTATGACACATCAAGTTGAGGCAGGACCAAGTGGTTTATTTTAGTTACATCCATTGGCCTGCAAATTTCATGAGGTCATTGTTTTTTATCGAGTAATACACAATTGTGTAAATGTACCATAATTTCCTTATCCATTCATCAGTTGAGGGACATCTAGGTTGTTTTCAGGTTCTGGATGTTGTGAATAAAGCTGCTATGAACATAGTTGAGCAAGTGTCCTTGTGGGATAATTGAGCATTCTTTGGGTATATGCCCAAGAGTGGTATACTTGGGTCATGAAATAGATTGATTACCAGTTTTCTGAGAAAATGCCATGTTGATTTCTAAAGTGTCTGTATAAGTTTGCACTACCACCAAAAGTGGAGGAGTGTTCCCCTTGCTCCTCATCCTCTCCAACATAAGCTGTCATCAGTATTTTTGATCTTAGCCATTCTGACAGGTGTAAGATGATATCTCAGACTCATTTTGATTTGCATTTCCCTGATGACTAAGGATGTTGAGCAATTCCTTAAGTGCCTTTCTGCCATTTGAGATTCTTCTCTTGAAAATTCTCTGTTTAGATCAGTACTCCATTGGATTATTTAGAATTTTGATGTCTTGTTTCTTGAGTTTTTTTTTAAATGTATTTTGGAGATCAGGTCTCTGTCAGATGTGGAGTTGGTAAAGATCTTTTCCCATTCTGTAGGCTGCTGTTTTGTCTTATTGACTATGTACTTTACCTTAAGAATCTCCTCAAGGGGCTAGAGAGATGGCTCAGTGGTTAAGAGCACTGCTTGTTCTTCCAGAGGTCCTGAGTTCAATTCCCAGCAACCACATGGTGGCACAAGCTACCTGTAATGAGATCTGTTACCCTCTTCTGGTCTGCAGATAGAGCACTGTATACATAATAAATAAATAAATCTTTTTTTAAAAAAGAAGCTCCTCAGTTTCAGGAGGTCTCATTTATTAATTTTTGATCAAAGTGTCTGTGCTACTGGAGTTATATTCAGGAAGTAGTCTCCTGTGCAAATGAGTTCAAGGCTACTTTCCACTTTCTCTACTGTCAGGTTCAGTGTAACTGGTTTTATGTTGAAGTCTTCAATCCACTTAGTCTTGAGTTTTGTGCACGGTGATAGATATGGATCTATTTGCAGTCTTCTACATGTTGACATCCAGTTATGCCAGCACCATTTGTTGAAGATGCTTCCTTTTTTCCATTGCAGAGTTTTGGCTTCTTTGTCAAAAATCAGATGTTCATAGATGTGTGGGGTAATGTCAGGGACTTCAATTCAATTCCATTGGTCCACATGTCGGTTTTTATGCCAGTAACAAGCTGTTTTTATTACTATAGCTTTATAGGAGAGCTTGAGATCAGAGATGGTGAAGCCTCTAGAGGTGGCTTTAGTGTACAGGATTGTTTTGACTATCCTGGGTTTGTGGTTTTTCTATATAAAGTTGAGTATTGTTCTTTCCAGGTCTGTGAAGAATTGTATTGGGATTTTGGTGGGAATTGCATTGAATCTATGGATTGCTATTGGTAAGACTGTCATGTTTCTATGTTAATCCTACCTATTCATGAGCATGGAAGATCTTTCCATTTTCTGATATCTTTTTCAATTTCTTTCTTCAGAGACTTAAAGTTCTTTTTATACAGGTATTTCACTTGCTTAGTTAGAGTTACCTCAAGGTAACTCTAATATTATTATTAATATTATTTGTGACTATTGTAAAGGGTGGTGTTTCTCTGATTACTTTCTCAGCCTGTTTATCATTTGTATATAGGAGAGCTACTAATTTTTTGAGTTAATCTTGTATCCTGCCACATTATTGAAGATGTTTATCAGCTGTAGGAGTTCCCTGGTATAATTTTTTGGGTCACTTATGTATACTATCATATTGTCTGCAAATAGTGAAAGTTTGACTTCTTCCTTTCAAATTTGTATTCCCTTGATCTCCTTTTGTTGTCTTATTGCTCTAGCTAGAACTTCGAATACCATATTGAATAGATATGGGGAGAGCGGATAGCTTTGTCTTGTTCCTCATTTTAGTGGAATCGCTTTGAGTTTCTTTCCATTTACTTTGATGTTGGCTGTTGGCTTGCTGTACATTGCCTTTATTATGTTTAGGTATGTCCCTTATATTCCTGATCATTCCAAGACCTTTATCATGAAGGGGTGTTGGATTTTGTCAAAGACTTTATTTTAGCATCTAATGAGGTGATCATGTAGTTTTTTTTCTTTCAGTTTGTTTATATGGTGCATTACATTGACAGATTTTTGCATGTTGAACCATCTCTGTATCTCCGGGATGAAGCCTACTTGATCATGCTGGATAAATTCTTTGATATGTTCTTGGACTTGGTTTGCCAGTATTTTATTGAGTATCTTTGCATCAATGTTCATGAGGGAGATTGGTGTGTAATTCTCTTTCTTTGTTGCATCTTTGTGTGGTTTGGGTATCAGGGTAATTGTAGCCTCATAAGAAAGAGTTTGCCAATGTTTCTTCTGTTTCTATTATGTGGGACAATTTGAAGAGTATTGGTATTAGCTTTGCTTTGAAATTCTGATAGAATTCTCCACTGAAAACATCTGGTCCTGGGCTTCTTTTTGGTTGGGAGACTTTTAATGAATGTTTCTATTTTCTTGGGGCTTATAGGTTTATTTAAATCGTTTTTCTGGTCTTGATTTAATTTTGGTATGTGGTACTATCCAGAAAATGTCCATTTCTTTTAGATTTTCCAATTTTGTGGAGTGCAGGTTTTTGAAGTATGACCTGATGATTCTCTGTATGTCCTTCTTGTCTATTGCTATGTCTCACATTGCATTTCTGATTTTGGTTATTTAGATGTTCTCTCTCTGCCTTTTGGTTAGATTGTGTAAGGATTATCTATCTTGTTGATTTTCTCAAAGAACAAACTCTTTGTTTCATTAAATTTTTGTATTGTTCTCTTTGTTTTTATTTTATTGATTTCAGCTCTCAATTTGATTATTTCCTTGCATTTATCCTCCTGGATGACTTCGCTTCTT